ACTATCTGTGTAGTCCATGCAAGAGCTTTCAAAAGGAGGAGGGACTCCATTTTGCTGGGATAGCCAGCCAAACCCTCTTGACTAGTGTCAAATGTACCATGTCCAAAGACCATCTCATGGCTCTCAACCTTAGTGAGCCTTAACTCTCAAGGTATGTCCCTCAGGCCGTGTGCTTGGCCACTGAAGAAGAGCTGCCCATAAGCCCTTGTCACAGGCAGCAGATTCTGCACAGAAGGAGTGCTTTCCATTGCTGTCCAGACTGGGAGACTCATGTACCATGCACACTGGAAATTTCTTGCCTAGAAGTCACATCTGGAGCCACCATAGTAATAAATAACAAATCATCTTCACCAGCCTAGAAATATGAGAGAGACAGCTAAAAAAAAAAAAAGGAGCCATGAGCATGCTTTCAAAGGTCTCCTGGTCACTGTTGCTGCCAACAGTCTTGCTTCTGAGAAATCGGGACCCAGGGACACCAGAGCAGCACATGTGTCTTGACAGCTTGCGTGCGAGCTTAGGAGGTGACAGAAGGTGTTCATGTTCATGAAGGCTTCTTTTCTGTCACTTTTCCCAGTGCTGATTCACTAGTAACTAAAGATGAAAAGCCCAAGCTGTCCTAGACACAGAGAAGAATCTACTGCTTCCTATCTAGAAAGCTCTTCTCCCCACCCACGCTAGGCTGACCGTAGAGATCTGAAGATGGTCTGTATGGTAGCTGTCATGGCATCAAAGCTTCTTTGACACTTTTCTGTTTTGCTTTTTCACTTCTCATCAATTTCTTTCTCTGGGTTTTTATTTCCTTCCACCAGTTTTCATGCAATTTTCAGTCTTTCCTTAATGGCATGCAGCTTCAGTCACACTGAAGTTCCAGCCTTGGTTGACCTCTTGCTGGTGTGCACCTGAGACAATTTTAGCTCCTTTTGGACAAAGCACCCCTTTTTGATGTGGGTAGGACATTTTCTTCATTCAGCAGCACCCTTGAAGCCCTTTGGTGTGCTCACAACATACATGAAGTCTCAGATCCCAGGCAAATGGGCAGCATGTTGCAAGCTAAACTGGACACCCTTGAAGATTCTGTGAATCAGTTCATGACTCTATCAATGGTGATGAATAAACTTCTAAAAGGATCAGGAAGATGCTTTCTATTTCGGATGCTTTTTTCCAAACCCCAGTGCAATCTCTTTAAGATTTCTCCAAAGTTGTGCTCCCCAGGGCTGTCTTTGTGTGTCTGCATCACCCAGCTGCCTCAGGCTGTGCTCTTTGATTGCCAACAGGGTGTCTTCTTCACTCCACTTCCCAGCGCCAGCTTCCTCTGCTTCATCACAGGGAAGGGCCTTCATCACATCAACGGGCTTTGTGTCTGATGGTAACCCCTTGGGCTGGGCTTTCCTTGGGAGCTGGGCTCCTTGGTATTGAAACGACGTTACTGGTATGTCTCCCTTTCCTGCACTCCAAGATGGACGTCCAAGAATGAGAAAAAAGGGTGAATTTTTCAAAGATATTTGCCTGACCAGGGAGTCAAATTTCCAGTTTCAAAATTGACTTGGATACTGAGAAGCTTAAGTGTATGACTAGGGAGTTCAGTGAAGCCTCATGCAAAGCCATGCCCTTAAGTTGTTCCCGAGCAGTTTGGGGTGCACAAATAACCCAGCACACTCTCCCATGGAGGCGTTAGCATGGGTCCAAAAACACAGATGCTGTGCAGCACAGAGAACAGGTTTGGTCATGGGCAGTGAGAGTGCACCAGCTTTTTTGCTGAGTGCAGACCTACCAAAGCTGCAGTGAAAACCAGCAAGAAATCAAGTGCCAAAGCCATGCCAGTCATGCAGGGCCTTCCAAAGCTTTCTTCTGTGAGAGAGACAACAGGCGAAATGTCACCTCATGATGCACTCTGCCTTGGAGAACTGCAAAATGCATTCTTTAGGGGAAAGATGGACAGGTTTGGAGCTGTGCAGGTGTTGAGGTGGAGAAGGACAGTAGATGGGATGGAGAGATCGTGCAGCTTTTTATTGGCTATATCTTATCCTTGGATCATGCTGGATTCAGAGGTGTATCTGCAGGTCCCCTGTAGGCATCCAGCGTTCAGGCTCAGGCTACCTCTGGAGTACCAGCAGGTTCTCCCACAGGAGGATGGCCTCCTTTAGGATCCTGTGGCAATGGTGTATCTGTGTGTCAGCAAATGCCTCAGCCTTCCCCCCCTGGGAGTGTTAATCATAGAATCATAGAATTGTTTGGTTGGAAAAGACCTTTAAGATCATCAAGTCCAACCATTAACCTAGCACTGCCAAGTCCATCACTGAACCATGTCTCTAAGCACCACATCTATGTGTCTTTTAAATACTTCCAGGGATGGTCACTGCACCACTTCCCTGGGCAGCCTGTTCCAGTGCTTGACAATCCTTTCAGTGAAGAAATTTTTCCTAATACCCAATCTAAACCTCCCCTGGTGCAACTTGAGAACATTTCCTCTCATCCTATCACTTGTTACTTGGGAGAAGAGACCAACATGCAGGTCTCCAGGCAGGGATTAGATGTCTATGCACTGGGGGGAATGGCACCACCCCTGACCCACAGCTGGGAGATCTTTACACCTTGTCCTGCCTTGTGCCCAGCCACCTGATGCCTCCTCAAGTCCTTCCCCAGACCTCAGCTGAATCTCACGTCTCCCATTTGGAGAAGAGCCCTCCAGCTTGGAGAAGTCTGTACCCTTGCAGGCCTAACCAATGGGCTGGGGTACCCTTGGTCTGTACAGCTGGTGCGACTGCTGAGAGCCCCTAGCACTCCTTCACATGTCATGATTCCCACTTGTTGGCCCAGTGTATGTCCATGATGAGGGAGAACTACTAAAAATCAAGGTTTTCTGGTCATAATGAATAGGGAAGACTTCTCTAATTTTTACCTCTTCTCCCCAAGGGAACTAAATAGTTGCTGAAAAAAACTGTTTCCTTAAGCAAGCAGAGAGAAGCTGGAATTCATCTCTCTTCTTGACTATTTTTTATTGCCACTGGAGTTGCATATCTGTAACGTGCCATCTAAACATAAATCTGTCAATAACAATGAATGCTGCCAGAGCCCTTGAGCAACAGTACGGACCTAATCTGCCAACAAGCTTTGAAACCACAAAGCTCTGGTTGTATTAAACATCAAAGCCATCCCTTCCTCACCCCCTTCGCTGTGTCCGCAGACAGGGAGCAGGCATTAGCATACCTTTGGGAGGCACGAAAGGGTCAGATCTGCACTGCCCATTTAGGCTGACAGTGGGACCTGGACCTGCCCCACTCCAACGCACCATATGCGCAGGTTGAGACCAATCGTCCAACACCGTGCCAAGGCTGCTCCAGCTGCTTGCTGTCCTTCACAGTGGATCAGCAGGGAGCTAAGGCATCGACCTCAGGCTCGGGCCTCTGGTCCACTTCCTTTTTGCCAAGGTGTCTTGCAGTCCCTTCCTTGCTGACCCGCTGGGACCTGCCAAACACTGAGGGGCAGTGCGATCTGGTGGGTGGCAGCTGAAAGCAAGGAAGGTCTGACGTGCACGAGGCTCAGAGCCTGCAGCCCCACTTACCCTGGGAAGTTGGAAAACAGACGTTAAGATGCTAGTTATGATAAAACCCTCTTAAAGTCAGAGGAGGGAGAGGTCAGTTGAAGGGGAGGGAGGGAGTTGTGGGACAGGCAGGTAAGAGCTGGGACTTCAAGAAAGGTAGGGATAACTATGAGGGACTATCCAAGGAGGCCAGAAGAAAAGATGTGAAGTGAGGGAGAGAGATAAGTGCCTGGGGGAGAAGTGTTTGAGCACCCACAGCTGAGCTCCCATCGCTTTCCAGGTTTACCCACATTTGTGGGTCACAACGCAGAGTGTGTGGGTGCTGCTGCACCCATGTGTGGTTCAGCAGCTCCCGCTGCACCCTTGCCCAAGTCCCTGTGCTCCCCAAACCTGGCTCAGCCTTGGAGCTGCTCCAGGGAGCTTACTCGTGAGCTGGTCCACATGCCTGGTGGCCCTCGTGTGCAGGGCACCATCCCTGCCACTGCAGCATCATGCTGATGTATAACTGGTGCCCTGTAAGCTGGCACATCCCAGTCCATCATGTAACATTGGTCAGGATAGCCTGAGAGAGCCTCGCAGGTGGGCAGCACTTGAGACCTGTTCAGTTCAGCTTTCTTCTCTGTCCCTTTCTCTCTGTTAACACAGAGACTCTGCACATGCTTTCTCTCTAACCGCAACGTAACCCTTTTCCCTGGAACATCCTATGGGTACTTCTGGGGTAATAACGGGAGGATACTTGCTGTACACAATGCTCACTGTCGCCTGAGCAGCTGCTCACCGCTCTGTGGTGCCTCTTGCCAGTCTTGTCTAGATAGCAGCTCCAAGGAGAGTCTCTGAAAGTAGCATCCAGCCCATCTCAATCTTCCTGCCAGCTGGTGCTTCTAGCAGGTGAGAAGGAAGGAGGCAGGCAGAGGAGGAAAGGAGGGGTTTGGCTGGCTGCTTGAAGACCCAGGCCAAAAACAGAGCTGGAATGCTGATGTTGCAGGTGCCTGGTTAAAGCAAAGTGAAGAGTAAATATGTGCGTAAAGCCTTTATTTTTTCCATTCATCACAATGCACTTTTTATTTCTGACCTTAGCCTCAAGAATGGTGCCAGACATGTTCTGTGATTTCTCCCCTTTTCCCCTCCAGATGTCCAAACGGATTCTTCGGACAGAGATGTTTGGAGAAACTGCCTTTGCGATTGTACATGCCAGATCCTAAGCAAAGTATGTTTGAAGACAAAAAATGCAGCACACTACTTAAAACCTCCCGGGCACAGCGGTGGATGTAGAGTGGTCTAGTCAGGGATGGCTCTTGGTGTCAGCTTTGGGCTAGGGCTTAGGGATGCAGGTAAGGGTGAAGGCTGAAAGCAGACGGATAGGAGTTGTGGAAGGGATCGGAAGGGGCCTCAGTTCAGTCTGTTTGGGTGTCATTTTGCTATCTTGTTTCTCTCTTTCTGGTTTTCTTTCTTCCGGTAGGTGTCCGATCGAATTCACAGGAGACCGATGTCAGCATTTCGCAATGGTCAGCTTCTCCAGTATGTCTCTTTCTACTTCTCTCTCTCCCTGGTTATTGTAGCTCTGTGTCGTGTCCTTAAAGCAGGTTCTTCTGTTCTCCAAGAGCCCTCTTCCTGTCTTGTGCGCTCGCAGCTCTGCTTGGCCGTAAGAGGAGCTGTGATCGTGTCCAAGAGGAGAATCGGGGCTTTTATTATCTCCCCATTTGTTAGAATGGGTTCTGCTTTCATTTCTGATTGAACTTAATATTGCTTGCTCTTTTCATGCAAAATGCAAATAAGGCACAAGGTTATGTGGTGTGCTGTGTGAGAACAGTCTGTGTGATAAGCTGAATCTGCTAGCATTACTGTCTCAAGATGGACTATATGTTGCGCAGTGCAAGAAATGTACATTTCCCCAAGGCTCTCGTGAGGGGGTGTGTGAGTCTCTCTGTACCAATTGAGGAAATCACAGCGAGGGCTGTAATGACATTTCCCCTCAGGTGAGGTTGCTTTCCAGAAGCTAAACCAAGCGTCAGTTGCTGTTCAGGTGAGGTGGTTGGAGTCAGACCCTGGAGCACGCCCAGAGGGCTGGACAGGGCACACGTGCATGCCTGGAGCCCCAGAGGTCACGCTGGTGGCTGCGCCTGTCTCCGGGTTTCCCATGCCTCTGTGCCATGCAGGATGTGGGCTAAGTCTGCTGACTGGGCATCTCTGACTATATCCCTCCCGGACACAGAGATGTTCCTGTCTCTTCTAGGAGGATGGACAGCTTTGCATATGGGGTTGTGTCTAACTACAGTGACCAATCCTTTAACCTCAGTGGGTGTAAATACCCTAGAGCCCTTGCACTTAGTGCTTCTCAGTTCCTAGGGGTTCCATCTTCAGAGATGCCTCGCTTATAGACATTATTAGCTCATTTTGTTCAAGGCAGATAATTTTTCCAGGTTCATATTCAGACAGTGTCCCAGCATCAGTGGGATCCTGGTCTGGGTAAGGACTGACCTGAAAGGAGATGCAGTTACAGCGCAGGTAATCTGCCATGGTGACCCTCTGCGTGACCCATCCTGCCTCCATGCTGGCCCTTTGGACACCACCAGTGGTGGTTTTAAAGAGCCTTTTTAAAAAGAGCCACAAAAGAGGCTTTAATTAGTGGGAACCAGAGGAGAAATGGCTCTCCATGAAGCCTCCTTGCTTGCCAGTGTCCCCTCTCCCACTGCTCTGTAAGAAATCCTGCAGTCCTCATCCTGAATTGGCAATGTCAGGAGTCTCATTAGCACGTGCTAATAGCTGGTCCCTTCTACAGAGTATACAGACAAGATGCAAATGGCTTTATGAGGCCCTTGGGACAGCTTGATGTTTTTACATTGCTTTTTGTTCCAAATTGCCTTCCAAATTTGAAACCTCCACTGATTTATTCTTTCAGACTAAAACATCCAAGCAAGCTCTTTTTAAAATGACAAAAAAAACCAAAACAAAAAACAACCAACCCCTTCTGTTTTGATCTTTAACCTGATGCGAAAGGGTTTCCTTTCTGCTTTTAAGCTCATGGTGTCAGGGACCCTGACTGCAGACAGCAGTGAGGTGCTTACCCCATGAAGCTGATTTGTAGCATGTTTCATGCGGTGGTGTCCAACAGGCTTAAGCATTATTGCTACCATGCTGCAACACCAAAACAGGGATGAAAATGAATTTTATGTCTGGAAAATGCCTTTTCAGAACATTAATGGCAAGAGTAAACAGCATGTGTTTTTTCCCCAGCCTGCAGAATCCAGCTTGTTATGGGTATGAGATTTGTTTAAATTTATTCATACGTTAGAGGAACAATGCCAACTTTAAAAACAACATGTACATTTTCTTAACTCAGTTCTGCTTTAACCACAGGATAGTAAGGTAAAAACAGCTTAAGAATCCAGGTTACCTGTCTGAACTTGGATAAAAATCATCTAAGAAGATGATTCATAGGTGTTTATAGCTGTTTTCACTTTCAGGTCACAGTTGGGTAATATATGTAGCAGCAACACTGCAGAAAAGCATGCACTGCACTTGCTGTTCTTCTGAATAGGAAAGGCATTTCACTTGAGTCTGGACTATGCAAATGCTTACTTTCTACTTTAATCAATAATTAGGTCATAGTAGAAGTTGCTGTTGCTCTAGAGTTCACTCAGTGCTTCATCCCATAAGAGTTCTGACAGGTCAAAAGTGGAAACAGATTAAATGAGGTTCAGGAATTTCCACTGGAAATAAAATACCTCTGTCCTGATTAATGTTTTGAAAATATTGCCAGCACTTGACAGATACTTAAATAGTAAATAACGACACCTACGCTGGTGTTGTTTCAAATGCATTTGAGGTATCCTAGGTTTTCAGGCCTAGATCGTAGCCTTCCAATTCTTTAACATAAATATTAAATATTACTTAGTAGATATATCCCAGGGCTGAGCGAGAGTCTCTGCAGAGCAAACTAAATTTAAGATGCTGTTCTGAAAAGATATGGCAGATACTTTGCTGAATTTGGGCCAGAGATGTAGATGGTGCAGCATCCCAGCCTCATGCTGGGTATTGTGTATCTTCCTTCTGGGAGCAGCTTCCTATCACCGGTTTAAACCCTTACTCAGATTTTGCTCAGGTAAAACTCCCCATGTTCTCTAGGAGTTCAGGCTATCTTTGTCTATTTGACCAGTAGCTCTGGAGGTTTGTTTTTCTCTGATTGTCAAAAATACCTGCTAGACCACTGCAATCATGAAGATGAAAATCAGATGTATTTAGGTTTTCTTGCATGTGATGTTTCTCTATGTTGCTGTTACAACCATATGACTAAGTGCCTACTGACAGACGTTCAGGGTGTATACCTTACTGCTTGAAAATGAAGAGGAAACGTTGAAGATGGAGGTTTTCCCTATGTCGTGCTTGCACTGTTGCTATTTTCTAACAGATTGGTACAGAGGAACTCACTAGGAATTGTATTATTGGATAGGCTTGGAGACCTCCCAGTCTGTCCCAGCTCAGCCCTTGTTTGGATGAATAGCACTTGCTTTTGGTAGGAATTTGCAACAGCAGAATTCAAGCAAGTATCTCAGCGGTTGGTTCCTCTCTGCTTATAAGGAGTTTACATTTTATTTTGCTTGCATTGTAATGCAAATGTAATGGGAAATGTGCTGAGATACTCGAGAGGAAAAAAAAAAAAAGCAGCATGCTAAAACAGCTACTTATCTGAGAAAATAGATGCATAGTGCAAACAGACAACATTGCTCTGGCCTAGCAAGGTGCCACTTCTGAGAAGAGCTGTGGTACGTGACTGTGTCAGCTCTCTAAGCTTGCCTTTACACTAAGCCTGCATTAGTTTAAGCATCCTGATGGTCTGTTTTCTAGCACAGCTCCTACCACAAGGAGATCTAAGGCAGCACGTTTATCTTGCGCAGCAGTGGCTAGGTGTGTGCAGACAGTTGGCTACCATCAGTCAGCAGACAGACAATAACCTGCTAAGTGGCAGCAACACAGATGAGGGCCTTTGAGACATTGATGCGTAATAATCCCACATCCAGTAAGTGTGGGAAAGTCTCACAGGGAAACGTAAAAGCTTTATCCTGTTTATCATAGGTCAGGTTTAGGACAGAATGGCTGTCCCACATTCATCAAAACAGAAAACCTACCAGAAGAAGGAAGGAAGGAGAGATGTCAGAGCAAACAACTGCAGGTTCACTGAGATTAAAATAATTGAAAGGTATATATCTGAGAAGAAAAAGATGTCCTGACTTAAGATGTACTGATTTTAGCCTGGCTAGATCCCTTTTGTCTGTATGAAATTTCACCGATCTCAGTTGGTGTCTGCATGCTCCTCCATCCACGCATAAGGAATTGGCTGATGGATCAAGGTTAGAAGATCATGTTGTCTAGGCTTTAACTAACCTGTAAGAGGAAAGCCTTATAGAGGCTGTACAATATAACTGAGGGACATTAAAGAAATGTCTAAAGCAGTATTAACGTAGACTGAAGGAGAATTAATGGCAGTGAACAGAGGGGACAGTGATTGCCTGCAATTACTATATAAAACACAGGAGGTGAGAATACAGAGGAATATTTCCATGGGTGAGGAGTCATTAAATCATCTTAGTGAAATGTTTTTCACGTCAAGGTCTTCATATTTCTTTCATACGATTATAGTTGCAGATAATAATTAATACATATACCGCATTGTGCATATGATTGTAAAGTCATATCGTCTGCTAGTTTCAGGAGTTAGCTCTTGCAGTTACGATGTAACTCTGATGAATCCAGAGGCCTGGGAGATCCTAACTCCAAAATGTGACCTAAAGCAGGAATCCTCCCTGACCCTGGCCACGGGGAATGCAATGTGCAGGCAAGGAGTAGCCAGCCATGCTGGCAGTCTGAGTTCACGTCATGAACTCATCTTCTGAGCCCTGTTCTCCTTGCCCCCCTCTTTGCAGCAATAGTGTAGCCAGACCCTCATTATTTTTTCAGTGGGCTTTTAGACATCTGTGTTAGAGGTTTTGAGTCCAAATTCATACCCCAGGTTCCCTTCATAGTCACTGCAGAGGGTTTGGGACCCAAGGATGAGCATTTGGCTAATTGAACTCCAGTGCTGCCATCAGGATGAGATGTCTCATCCTCCAGAGGTGCTGAGGGTGCTGTACAAACTCATAGATTTAGCTGTCGGATGTCTGTCCCGGAGCCTTGGCACCTGCAGAGTCACAGATCACAGGTGTGTCTATCTGTCTGTCTGTCCATGCACTACTGAGAACAGAAGTTTAACACATCAAACTGTTGATCCACAGCCTGAATGAATCCATAGCACTGGTGCCCAGGGACCATTTTGCCTTTGCAGTCAGATCTTCATCCCTGCTGGCACATGTTGGTGTAAAGTTCAGCAAAAGAGTCAGGAAGTCTTTCTAATAGGATAGCTTCCAGTGGGTACTGAAGACTCACCCAATTGACAGCTGTCTCCTGAGTCCTGCTTCACAGGCACAACTCTGTCTTTCAGCTCTTTCCAGAAGACAGAAGCATGTCCAAAATCATCCTTCCTT